TAGACGGATCCCCCGCGCAACCTGCGGAATCAGACAATGTCATAGCGCTACAGTGAGGGCGCTGTGCGTTCTATGCCATTAATGTATGTCTCCTTGCTTACAATTGTAATCCTTATACTGTTGCTGATTTCACAGACGTTGTTCGCTGGATAGAAGAAGAGCACCGTGCCGTCTGCCCAGAGGACGACAGCGCTGTGCCTGGGGTGAACATAGAAGTCCTGGCTTTGGCATTTATGGGTAGGCGACTGCAATTCCAGCCTGCTCCGCAAAACCACGAGCCAAGCACGGATCCGAATATTCGGGCATATATCTTATATTGTCCAGGTCACTTCAGTGCTCTTTACCTTTGCAGATAATTCATGGACCCTATGGKACAATGGCGGTAGGGTGCACACAGTGGGAAATATTAACGCTTTCTATCACCAAATGCTGGAGGGTCACTCAGTCTGGTTCACCCATCAGGAACAGTATGTCGATGAGCATTTGCAAGCACTGCACTCCCCGGAGAGCAATCCKGCTGATTCTACCACAAACAGTGAAAGGACCTCTCCACAGGATGATGGCTGTGCCCTCCGGTTGTGTCGTCGCACAGGTGCAGTTCGGTTGGCATGTACACGACATAGCCTCTGCTCCGAACACTATGAAGGGATGGTCGCTGCTAGCCTCTCACACGAAAATTGTGATCCCCAGTCCTGTGCTCATCCCCCCCACCCCCTGATTACTTGCCCAGCATGCCGTTGTGGCCTTGATCTGCCATGCTTAAATAACTGTGCACGCCAGCCTTCCATACTAATGACATGTCAGCAACATGCCGTGTGTCGTCAATGCTTCCAGGAAGCTGTCACAGAAAGTATGTGTCTTTACTGCGTGGACTATCCCCGGTGCCATCACCCTCCACATCCTCTCCTAGCATGTCCCACATGCGGTATTGGTCATACACCTACGGCAACCGCTGACGGATCTCCCTCTTTCTTGCCAGACGAACGACGAACACAGCAGTCTGAGGAGGAAAATAGACTTCTATATGAACCACCGGCAGAGCGATGTGCTCATAGTATATCACCACCAGGGCGAGCTGTTGCGGATAATATCCTGCAGCAGCTGAATGCCCTTGCGTTGCTCCCTGTCATTGTCTGCCCATAGAGAAGGAATACATACTGAGGAAGCTCAAGAAAGATGCTCCTTGCCGTTTTGTGATGACCCGCGGAGATTCAACTAGCATGCGGTTCACATGCCTTGTGTCGTGAGGATTATGAACTAATATGTAGGTATAGTCCATGCGAGTTTTTGCTTCCATACGTACGATGACAGTCAGTACTGTACTCATGTACGGCACCCCGACATGTCATGTCCAATTTGTAGACGGGCTGGAACGGCAATGCCTCTATAATTGCGGTCAACGTGCCTCTGTGTTCCCAGCATGTACGAGTCACATAGCCTGTGACATCTGTCTGCCCCGTGCCATTCGATGCAGCAACTGTGACTGCGAAAATTGGATGCGGTGCTTCCATAGCCCACACCCGAACC